GATAGATAGATAAATAGATAGATAGATAGATAGATAGATAGATAGATAGATAGATAGATAGATAGATAGATAGATAGATAGATAGATAGATAGATCGACAGTTATTAGAAACATAGAATACAATCAGACTGACATCTTTTCTCTGAGTCTTTGACTTTTCGTTTTATGCTGAATTACTCAAGCGGGGTCCAGACTAAACGATCAGCAAAGGTGATAACGACATTTAAATAACACCACAGGAGTTACAGTGTGTGGACATTGACCTGCAGTCAGTTAAACTGATGTCGAGCAGAGGATGAGTGCAACGCTTCCTGTTGCGTTGCACCCTTTTTCCTGTTTTCCACAGTCAGTGGTCATGCATGTGATTCCCCGCCACTCTTTTGTGTGGCCACGATCTCATGACACTGCACTAAGAAAACAAAAAAAAATTCGATTCCTTTAAAAAATTTGCTAAGGCAAACTGCAGATTTTTTTTTTTATTTCTGCTGCAAAGTGTTAAGTTAAATGTGACGGTGCCAGTAATAGCACAGTTTTATAGTCAGCAGACCATGGCTCCTTCAGATCATAAGCATTGCCTCTTAAAATAAGCATATGCAAAGATAGCGATGAAAGCACTAACACTTCTACACGGCCTGACTCTGGGGGACAAACCCTGTGAGCATGGTGAGAATAAGGAGGTGCAACAATAAGTGCTGCCCTCCTCGTGTGGGATTATTTATCAGAGACAAAAAAAAGCTTGTGGTTGTACTCAGAAAACTGTGAAGTGTACAGTTACACCCCGTGCTCAGACTAACGCACCGCAGCAGCCAGTGATGAGACTTAATGACAAATGTGGAATTGCCAAACACTAGATTCACACAGAACACACAGACAGCATTAAATAAACAGTAAAGGAGAGTGAACTCCTGGTCATTGTGACACAGCACATCCCTGCACACAACCAAATGCGACCTCTGTTTTTAACCCATCACCAAAGTGAACGGTGGGCAGCTTTGTAAGTGGCCCAGTGCCATGCTCAGAGCACCTCAGTGGTAACTTGGCAGCTGGTGGACTCAAACCTGAAACCTTCCAGACCCAAGTCTGCTTCCTTAACCACTAAGCCACCACAGCCCCAACTTGACAAAAGAGGTAAAGTCTGTTAATCATAATTCCATTCAAATAAAAATAGATGACAAAGCACTACCTAGGATGGAAATTCTGTGTGACTCACATCTGCGTTGTCAGTATTTTTCCTAGGAAACTAGTTTGGCAAATTCGAAGAAGATCTAACAACAAATAAAATAAAATGACTTGTATGGTTCACTTTTGATAGTAATGCCATGTATAATAGTAGTGGACAATAAAACCCCTCAATAATTCGAAGGGTGTGTTCTGTGTTGTGCTTTTGTGCTCTTGCACGGACAAACAAATGAGTCAACTGACACAGACGCAAAGTCAGTGTCTTGTGCTTTGTGTAGCAGCGCTGCCAGATTCGTCACGCCAAGGTTTGCACTTGTCCCAGTGAAGTCACCGCAGCTGATCCACATGGAGGAGCTGCTCTGAAGATTCTAAAAAACTTAAATAATCTTCCATCTAAAACAACTGTATATTTTAAGTAAAATTACAATTTTTGTATTTAGTATATCAAATAGTCTTTCTGTATTTGTAGAAATAAAAAGAGTTCTTTTTGGAACACAGTACAGTTCAACGTCTGTTGTGACTGAAGGATAAAAGCCTTAGAATCTACATGTTTACCAAATCATGGAAAAACAGCATGCAGCATGTGACCCGTCGAAGTTTTTGTATGACGTTGTAATCTGTGTCTGCAGGATGTAAACGGAACAGAACAGTTACAAATGTATCCAAGCAGTCCACAATTAGTTTCAGTCGTTCAGCTTCAATTCTGCCAGGATATTATTTTGGTGTTATCTACATCTACATCTTCAACTGTAGTTTCGCCTTCGTCTTACACAACAGTAGCCATCATTATATTTGGTTGCCCTTTCCCACACAGGATGATGCAGAGCCGCCTGAACTGTATGTGCGACAGCACCTGGAGCCGGTGGATCCAGGAAATTTCAACAGGCCAAACTGCATG